AGATAAATGAATCCTTGAATTTCGGATATTTCGGTCCTGATTATTCACGTCTTGATTAAAAATCCAAATGAGTCGAGATAATCCTCGATTTTCTGAACTGGAGGTTCTCAAAAGTTAAGAATTCCATTGAATTTTCAGTAAAATTTGAAATTTTACTATTTTCCTTCAAAATTACTTCACTGTCGCTCACCAGAAAATTACAGTCAAACTGCCCATGAAATTTCAATTTCTTTCCAACAGTGCATTTCACCACTGAGCCAATAACTCATACCAAACAAAATCCATCAAAAAACCAAGCATGTCTCATTGACAGAATCCACACGCCCCAGGCTATTAGGAATTTTCGACTGAAATTTCCAGTACACTTCTTGGAAATGTTTACATATAAAGTGTCATTATATATCAAGTGTCATTCCATGGAATTATGTAGTTGGAAATTCGAAATTCAATGGAAAGATCAATAGAAACCGTAATATCAGGCCAATTACTCAATGAAAATCTGCATAAATCACAAAGAGTCAGATAATTATATCTTAAATTTCCCATATTTCGGTTCTGAATGTTCATATATGTTCATTGAAATTTTTTCTGCATCATATTTTTCATTTTTTCATGTGTGAAGTTGATTTTTACATCAAAACATATCTAAATTGCCTAATTGTTGATTTATGAGAAAAAAAACATAGTATTTCTAAATTTTTTTAACTCACAAATTATTCTTCACTTCCCAAATTTTAATTTTTTGATATTTATCACACACCACAACTCAGATTTTCATACATAAATTCTAAACTCTACAAATTCACAAAAATTCTTCGGTTTCCCAAATAATTCGAGAAAAATCTGTGATCCACGATTATCTGGAAAACTGTGAAATTTTCCGAAGAATTCAAGAAATTTTTTCAGTTCTCTAGGAAATCAATTCATAACCCTCCCCTGATTTTTCAACAATTACAGATTTTAATCAGATTATTTTAAAAAGTAAAAAAAAAAAGAATTAATCGAAGATTAAAAATTATTCATTGATGCTTCACTCTTTATTCTCTTCCTTCTCTTAATTCTCTTCAAGTCATTATCAATATTGATAAAACATCGATGAGCATATGAAGTTTAATAAATTCGATTTCTTCATTTTCACAACAAAAAGATAAGCGCGCGCACAGATCTAGTTAATTTTGGAGGTTGAGGGGTATTCTGCGGAGAATTTTTCGGGACTGGATTTTGGTTTTAAGCGAAGCGCAGTATTCGAGGGCTTCTTCCAGCAAAACATCCAATTGGTTAGAAATAAATGAATAGCTACTATGCAATTATCAGATGCAATTTCCAGAAGCTAGTGTGCAATTTCCGAAAAAATGTGATAACAAAAGAGTATGACCTCGAATACTGCGCTGTGATTGGCTAAAATCCAGTCCCGCAAAATTCTCAGTAAAATTTGAAATTTAACAATTTTTCCTAAAAATTACTGCCAAACTATCCACGAAATTTCAACTTCAATTTTCAATGTTCATCAGTGCAAATAAAATCCATCAACGGGTCACGCATGTCTCATTGTCAAGATCAAGACCTCCCCGGCTATTGAAATCTTTTGGCTGAAATTCCCAGTACACTTCTCGGAAATTTTAATCAAGTATCATTTCAACTAAAATTCTACGAAATTTTGTAGTTGGAAATTCAATAGAAAATGGTTGGAGAAAAATCAATAGAAACGGTGAATTTGACTTTAATTATTCACGGAAATCTACATAAATTAGGGAAAGTCAGATAAATAAATCCTTGAATCTCCGTTATTTCGGTCCTGAATATTCGATCCTCGATTTCGTCAACAGGAGGTGCTCAAAAATGAATAATTCCATTGAATTTCCAGTGAAATTTGAAATTTCACAATTTCCCCTAAAAATTAGTGTCAAACTGTCCATGAAATTTCAATTTCTTTCCAACAGTAAATTTCACTATTGAACTAACAACTCATACCAAATAAAATCCATCAACAAATCAAGTATGTTTCATCAAGCATCACACACAATTAAGACAAAATTCCACAGAATTTTGTAGTTGGGAATTCAAAAGTCGAAGGAAAAATCAATAAAAACTTCAAATTTCAGTTCAATTATTCCATGGAAATCTCTATAAATCCGGATAAATAGGTACAGCCAGATAAATAAATCCTTGAATTTCCGTTATTTCGGTCCTGAATATTCGATTCTCAATTTCCTCAACAGGAAATGCTCAAAAATTAAGAATTCCATTAAATTACGACTGAAATTTGAAATTTTACCATTTTCCCTAAAAATTACTGTCAAACTGTCCACTAAATTTCAATTTCCAACATTCACCAGTGCAAATAAAATCCATCAACAAATCAAGCATGTTTCATTGTCACAATCAAGACATTACACTTCTTGGAAATGTTGATCGAATGTCATTTTGACTAAAATTCCACAGAATTTTGTAGTTAGAAATTCAAAATTCGAAGAAAAAGTCAATAAAAACTTCAAATTTCAGTTCAATTATTCCATGGAAATCTCTATAAATCCAGATAAATAGGTAAAGCCAGATAAATAAATTCTTGAATTTCCGTTATTTCGGTCCTGAATATTCGATCCTCAATTTCCTCAACAGGAGGTGCTCAAACATGAATAATTCCATTGAATTTCCACTGAAATTTGAAATTTCACAATTTCCCCTAAAAATTACTGTCAAACTGTCCACTAAATTTCAATTTCCAACATCCACCAGTGCAAATAAAATCCATCAACAAATCAAGCATGTTTCATTGTCACAATCAAGACATTACACTTCTTGGAAATGTTGATCAAATGTCATTTTGACTAAAATCCCACAGAATTTTGTAGTTGGGAATTCAAAATTCGAAGGAAAAATCAATAAAAACTTCAAATTTCAGTTCAATTATTCCATGGAAGTCTCTATAAATCCAGATAAATAGGTAAAGCTAGATAAATAAATCCTTGAATTTCCGTTATTTCGGTCCTGAATATTCGATTCTCAATTTCCTCAACAGGAAAGGCTCAAAAATTGAGAATTCCATTAAATTTCGACTGAAATTTGAAATTTCACAATTTCCCCTAAAAATTACTGTCAAGCACTCGCCGAAATTTCAATTTCAATTTTCAATATCCACCAGTGTAATCCATCAACAAATCAAGCATGCCTCATTGTCAGGATGAAAACCCAGTCATAAAAAAAACACGTCCTCGGAATTCTCACCTCAAAATCACGTAGTTTCCATATTTCCGAAAGCCCCAGTGTCTCAAAGCTCTCACCGTACCGAGGAATCATGAACAGCAGCACACAACGAGCCTTTTTTACCTCCCGTCTCCGCAATAATACCGTAAGCACCTCACAGCAAGACTCTTACCCAATAGCTCCATCATGCTACATATTCCGAATCATCCAAAATCCCGGTCCACTTTATGCCATCCAATAATCTCTCGAACGCGATAATTGCACCGAATAGTATAACTGCTCGAGAGGACCTGTCCCGACGACTCACGACACTTGACACAGAGGCCAGCGGAAGACTGTGGACCGAGCGAGGGGCGTGAAACGAGGTTGCGCCAAGTCTCCCTTCACCGCTTCGTCCAGTTTTCATTCCTCTCTTCTCTTCACTCCCCCCACTCACTCGCCCACTCACACGCGATCTCAACTATTTCTTCTTTTTATGCTTTTCCTGCGTCACCGGCCGCACACACCGACCCACGAACACATTTAGACTCCACCAGACCAAATCGAATTCCATCATTCAAACTCAATTTCAAATATAGTCAATTCAGTGTTTGTATTTAATTTGGAAAAGACTCGTGTTTTCATTTCATCAATGAAAAATCAGGTGCCGTTGAGCAATTTGTGTGTACACAAAAATTATGTATTCTGTCAACCCAAAACAACGGGTGTGACGATATTCCAATCTTCATTGTGAAAGAAAACAGAAGTCAACAGCTGACCCACACCATTTTCCTCTCTCCACTTCCCAGAAGCAGAATAATAACAATTGCACACAATGAAACGGAACAGATATTCGTTCGATATGACATCGATTATTTCTACTATCGATATGTCAGAGGGATCGATATTTTCAAACACAATATCGATAGGGAGAGCGGGACAATATGGAATTATTTGAATTTTTATAATTCATTCACCTGTTGATAAAATGAGATAATTTCTCTTCCTTGTAAAATGGAATTCTCTCAACCATTTCTTCTTTTTTATGTTTAACGAAACGGAACAGATATTCTTTCGATATGACGTCGATTGTTTAGAATATCGATGTTTTCAGCGGGTTTTTCTCAGTCGATATATCGGAGGGATCGATATTTCAAATTTTATCGAAAGGCGAGAGCGGGACAAGTGTCCCGCTCTCCCCTAAATATTTTTTATTATTATTTTGTGTCGATTTGTAATAGTTTTCAAACATTAGATTGAGGTTTTCTATTGATATCGCTTGTACATATTTTTATTATACTGATTGGCTTCCAGAACCTGAGGATGCTTGAATTACAAGCGAAACGTCGCGATTCGCCAATGAATTAGTAGGGGAGGATGGGGTAAAACCGACACTTTAGACTTTTTTAAAATTATTCATAACTCAGAAACAAATTGACCAATTGAGTTCAGTTTAGGCTCGTCACAAAGGGAAAGAATTGCTCTTTGTATTGAAGAAAAAATTATCAAATTTCATCAACATTTCAACTCCTCATTAACATTAAAACAAAAGTCAAAAGTGTTCGTTTTACCCCAACTTCCCCTAGTTTACTGATTTTTCCAACTATCCCATACTTCACATCCTGAGTTAATTAATTTTTTTTCCAAAATATTCAACTGCAAACGACCTCCCACATTTCGTGAACGAACAATATTCTTAAATCGATGTTTTTCAATATCGATATTCCGACCGCGATGGATCGTCAGACCGTCTCCGCCGCGACTATCCCTATCGATCCGTCACATCGATACCCTTGTCAACCTGCAGAACCATCCGACAGGCACCTGCACCCACACAAGATAAAAAACCCCAACGCTATTCTACACCTTCACCAATGGGAGCTAAACTTCCCGATCTAACTTAAATAACCCGCGACCCAAGATAACAAAAAACGTCATCAGTAGAAGTGTCAGCTGTGTGATGACTCGGCGCGTGTTCCCCCACAAATTTCCTCTTCCCCGAGCCAAACCCAGCGATAGCCCCTCCCGCTGATTCCCCGCACCGTAACAATGCCTGAATTTCCCCAATGTGTCGTCCACAATTGAGGTTAATCGTAGTATTTCGCGAACAATGTGCCGATGTGAAAGTGCGAGTGTCCAGTCACCACCTCGAGCCCCCGAAAATGAATGCCCTTCTGAAAACCGTCAAGTCGATGACGAACAAGAGGAACGTCCTGGTGAAGGAGTCCCTCCGCAAGCAGCTCAACACCGTTGTGATGGAGATGCAGGGGCTGGAGGGTGTGAGTGATGGAGTGCCAGTGGGCAACTGCGAGGAGGCGATGGCCCTGTGCTCAGTCCTCGAGGCCATATTCCTCCACGGCCTGAAGGACAGCCTCCTGAACCGAGTGACAGAGGCCCTCTCTGGCCCTGACTTCGACGCCATGCCTCAGCCCTCCTTCTGGGGTCCCCTCCTGGTCTTCTCCCACCGTCAGATGATCAATCAGATCCAGGATCTCAAGCAGATCACCACCGAAGTCGGCTACTGCAGGGCCTGGATACGCATTGCCCTGAACGAGGGCCTCCTCTCCAGCTACTTCTCCTCGATACATCGCGACAACTCGGCCCTGAAACCCTACTACGACAGAGCCGCCTTCATCAGGGATGGCGATCACGTGGAAGTTGCCAGGAGGCTCATCGAGAGTTTGGATACCATTGTATTTAATTTAGCCTCCAACACTAGTCTTCTCAACTTCTGGTCCAGCACTCCGCTGCTGATGGCCGCTATCTGGTCACCACCGATGAAGTCATGCCCCATTTTCAGTGCTGTTGACATCGCCAAGACTATTAATAGTGAGATTACTGAGGCTGATAACTTTGAGGATGTGGAGACTGCTAGCTCTATTGGGAGCATTGGGTCTTTCAGCTCTTCTGGGGTTCTTAATAATGCCACTTTGAGTGAGGATGAGGCTCTCAGGATTATTTTGGCGAATGGGGGGGCGAGGGGGGTGGGAAATGGGGTGAGGGGGGAGGGAAATGTGGTGAAGGAGGAGGATAATTTGGTGAAGGAAGTGAAGAGGAAGGAGAGGAGAAAGAAAGAAGTGATTTCTCCTGTTGGAAGTCCTGGGAGAAATGAGGGGATTGAAGATGGGGAGGGGAGGGGGGAAAGGGTGGTGGAGGGGAGTGAAAGGGTTCAAGAGGACCGGGAGGATGTGGTCGAGGGGGAGGAAGGGGTGGCGATTAGCGGCGAGGGGGAGGGGGGGGGAAAGNGCGGCGAGGGGGAGGGGGGTGGAAAGGCTGAGGGGGCTGTCTCTGTGGGGAATTCTCTGATTGGGAAGCTGGGGTGGTCCACATCCCTGGAGGACGTGGAGTCCTCGATGACCTCGTCGGTTATATCGGGGGCGTCCAATGCGGAGGCGAAGACTCCTGGGGAGGGACCAACTTATGATGCGCTTATTAGGAGCTATCATCCGGGGGGGTACGCCACCTCACCGGACTTGAGGGATTTTTTGGATAGGTATGCCCCCAGCGAGAGGATACAGGAGAAGGAGCCTGAGGAAGGGGCTGAGGTGAGCATTTTTGGAGTTTGATGGGGGATTCGGAATCTTGGGAATTTAATACACTGATTGAAAGAATTAGGCTTGTTGAAAAGTGGATTTGGTTGGAGGCTAGGGTCTATTCGGTTTTATCAAATGTTCAATTGAAAATATTCAGTAGAAAAAGTCAATAGAACTCGATTTTTCGGCATAACTTAATGTAGATTCTGTATACATTAATTTATGATACTTTATTTTGTTCTCTTTCGAGAAGAAATGAAAAAAATGTAAAAAAGCGTAGACGGGAAGAAATAAAAAAAAAATTCCAATGTCTCTCAAAAGTTTTAAAATTGATATATTTTTCCGAATAACGAAAGAACATCCGTAAATTCGATTTCTATCCTCGTCATTCGATAGAATGAATATAATAAATGACAGAAATTGAGAATTGGAGTAAAAAAATTTTATCGGATTATTATTACGTAATAATTCCAAAAACTTTAATTATTCCAAGTAATAACAGATGACTTTGACAGCCAGATCGGCAAACTCGAATTTTAACGGGAAGAAATGAAAAAAATGTAAAAAACGTAGACGTGAAGAAATTAAAAAAAAAAATTCCAATGTCTCAAAAGTTTTAAAATCGATATATTTTTCCGAATAACGGAAGAACACCCATAAATTCGATTTCTATCCTCGTCTTTCGATAGAATGAATATAATAAATGACAGAAATTGAGAATTGGAGTAAAAAAATTTTATCGGATTATTATTACGTAATAATTCCAAAAACTTTAATTATTCCAAGTAATAACAGATGACTTTGACAGTCAGGTCGGCAAACTCGAATTTTAACGGGAAGAAATGAAAAAAATGTAAAAAACGTAGACGTGAAGAAATTAAAAAAAAAAATTCCAATGTCTCTCAAAAGTTTTAAAATCGATATATTTTTCCGAATAACGGAAGAACACCCATAAATTCGATTTCTATCCTCGTCTTTCGATAGAATGAATATAATAAATGACAGAAATTGAGAATTGGAGTAAAAAATTTTTATCGGATTATTATTACGTAATAATTCCAAAAACTTAAATTATTCCAGGTAATAACAGATGACTTCGACAATCAGATCGGCAAACTCCCCCGTGAGAAGGGCTTGGACACCCAGAGCTACAGCTGCTTCGAGTGTGGTCACGCAGTGGGAATGACCTTCGCAAAAGCCCACGTTTGTTCGTTCACCGGGAACTACTACTGCACCAACTGCATGTCGACGGAGGAGTTCCTGATCCCCTCGCGAATAATCCACAATTGGGACTTGAAGCACTATCCAGTGAGTAAAAAAGCAGCGGAATATCTGACGGATTGCTCTACCCTCCTGAACCTCAAGATCCTGAATCCAAGGATCTACACGACAGTGGAGAGCATGGCCCAGCTGCAGGCCCTCAGAATACAGCTCAATCTCCTCCGTGCCTATTTGTTCACCTGCAGAGAGCCCATAATTGACTCATTGCAGAAGAAAGTTGCACCCAGGGACTATCTGTACGAGCACGTGCATCAGTACTCAGTCTCCGATCTGCTTGATGTGCCCTCGGGAACGCTTGCTCAACAGCTCCAAAAAGTCGTGGAATACGCGAGAAATCACGTGTTGAACTGCTGGTTATGCAGCCAAAAGGGATTCATCTGCGAGGTGTGCAACAATCCCAAGGTTATTTACCCGTTCGACATGGAATCGACTTACAGGTGTAATGGATGCAATGCTGTCTTTCACGCTGACTGCCTCAACTCGACAAAGTCATGTCCAAAGTGCGAGAGACGAAGGAAACGACTCGATCGGCTGCTCCTCGATGGCGAGACGACACTCCCTCAGAATATCGCCACATCTTCGCCGATTCATATGAATTGATTTGTATTATAGTGATAGATTGAATTGAATTTTAAGGCGACGAGGAATTTGCAAGTGTACCAAAAAGCCTGGCTAATGCACGTAAAAGTGGTCAGTAGTCGCAAGATAATTTTTAGTTAATTTTAACCCTAGTTGGTCACCCTACGCGACCCAGCGATTGGTCACGTCCGCGGGGAAGTGCCGCCGTGTTATTTACGCCTGAACGTTGCCAAATTCACTGTGCAATGCCCGGGAGCGTTTAGCGAATTTCCGGCAACGTCGCGTAACAGGCATTTTGGTTTAACATGGAAAAAAATAATAGACCTTTTCATTCTGAGAGTCACTAGATTTGCGGACACTTTTTTCCCATGTTAATTCCCCTAGGATTTGTGGACACTTTATCGAATTTACATATAAATCATGGTTTTTGAGCGTTCAAGTGTATATCATTGTAAAGTTCAATATTTATCAGAATTTTCCATGGTTTTTTCGGAGATTTTTTCGTTGAATGAACGAAATAAATATTTCCCCTAGATTTCCAGAATGAAAAGGTCTATTCCTCTGTTAGAAATAATTTTTTTTTTTAGAAATTTTGAGAATTATGTTGTTCTATAAGTATTAAAATTTGTTAGACGCTGATTAGAAAAGTCAAGTTTTTTTTAATTCTTCCGATCAGTTAATCAATGGCAATTCAAGAAAAACGACGCTGCGGCACTTCCCTCATATGGTGACCAATCTAGGGTTAAGGTAACTTTTCGGTGATTCCTCTACTTGTTATAGTGCAATTCACTAGCGAATTGGTAAAAGAAGATGAGTCAATTTTGACTATTGACCAGTTTTCAATTAATATCTCGAAATCTAAGGGAGATGGCGAAATTTTTGTTATGACCTTTTTAGCGGGGCCGATTGAGTGCTACAACTAATGTAATTACGAAAATTTCGATATCTCGCTTAGAGTCCGAGGTATTGATTGACAACTGGCCAATAGTCAAAAGTGACTTATCTCCTTTTACCACTTCGCTACTGAATTCATTAGATTTGATCTGATTGCGTTTCATTTCATCATTGTTCAATTTTATTACTATTTTAGCTAATCGCAGCTGTTTTTAACATGCTGTACCGTTTTAAATATAATAGTTTGAGAATTCAATGAGGAGCAATACGGCCCGTTTTATGGAGTGACCATTATATAATATTGAAAAGTACGCGGGTATAAGTAAATGAGAGTTTATTAAATAAGAAACGAGGCGAGGAGAAATACAAATAAGCAGGGGTACTGAGCATATCATAGTGAGCATGTCACTGAGCGATGTTTTGATGCTTTCTTCGCCACCAATAAATTGATGGAATGCTTCCGAATGATTTCAGGATAATAAATTTTTTTCACTCTCGGATATTTCTCTCCATTTTGGCAGGTTATGCCTCCCCTCCCCCCATCCAAACTCTTTCTAATGCAAATTTTCTAATGCATTCTGATGCAAAAAGGAAACTTCGTGCCAAATTTCAAGTTAATATGTCGATGTTTGCAAAAATGAGAGTGCTAACAGGGATTTTGAGCAAAAAAACGAAAAATGGAAATCTCTGGAGCTTTGTATGAACGGGTATGCATATTTTGATTGATTGACATAGAAGATATCAAGACGAATATTTTGAAAAGAAAAATAACAATCAGTCGAGTAGTTTTTGAGATATTCAAGAAAATAGAATTAGATTCAAACTTGAATATCTCCTAAACTAACGATCCCATTTAGCCCATTTTCAATACGAAATATTTTGGGGCAAAGAGGGAACTTCTTGCCAAATTTGAAGTTAATATGCCGATTTTTGCAAAAATGAGAGTGCTAACAAGGATTTTGAGCGAAAACCCGAAAAATGTAAATATCTCGGAAACTTTATACGAACGGGTATGCATATTTTGATTGATTGAGATAGAAGACATCAAGACAAATGTTTTGAAGAAACAAATTTTGAAATCGGTTGAGTAGTTTTTGAGATATTTGCGAAAAACGATTTAGAAATAAATGGTGATTTCTCAAAAAGGGTGAGTCGATTGGGCTGAAATTTCGCACAGAGTTAGTTGTTATTAATACCTATAATCTGACAAAATTTCACATTTTTGGGAATCATTTTCGTCCTTTAATTCTTCAGTTTTCTAAAAGTTGACCACTAGATGGAATGTAATTGGGGAAATTACAGATCCGTTACAATATGTATCCTTAAATCGGATTGAATGATAACAGAGTAAATGAATAATGAAATTTCTAACTGATAACACTACATGGACAAAAATGCCAGAAAAATTACTGTTCTTACACGGTAACGTGAGTTCATTTTGACGAACCCGGAAAAATTCACGTACCAACTCCCGAATTTTTGCTTCTAAATGCAAGATTTGTAATCACTCAAATTTAAGTTTAGGATTTTTTGTGTTATATCAACCCAGTATGATCCAAAAAGTCCAAAAATGCAATTTTATTGCAAAAATAATTTTAAAAAATGTTATTCTCTGTGCAAGCAACAAAATGTAATTTCTATCACTATTCTTCATTATTCGATGCTCTCATACGTGTTTTGCTGCCGGCAAAGTTTTATATGAAACGAGGGATAGTAATTTGTCGTGTCGGCTATTCAGTAATCACAGACAAAAAATGAATTCTTCCATGAAATAATAATGATATGACAGCAATCTTGTAACTTGGGGACAAAACATTTCTTAATAAACTTTCCTCTATAAAGGATATTTTTATCCTGAAAAGGCACCGTCTTGTATGAATAATCCGCCTCTTGAGCCAAATATTTCGTTGTTGAAAGCAGAGCAATTATTCATGTTTGAGTCGTTCAAATTCGAATAACCAAAAAAAAATTTTTTTGTTTTGTCTAACGATTTTGTTAACCCAAACAAGACTTGTTTGTTTTTCTCTCAGTGCAGGACCAACGTCTTTGGCGCGTTGTTTTCGGATATTAGAAAGCCTTTTTGGTGTACTTGCAAATACCTTCCAGACAGTGTGCTACGTGGAATGTTGAGAACATTCGCATCGGTAGCAAAATGGTCGGACGAGTCAAGTTTTTGATGAATATCTTTGAATCTGATGAAAATAGAGTAATTTATCATGTTGCAATCACCTTTGAGATATTGTTTTCACCTGCGCCAGCAAAAGAAGTTCATGTAAAGATCAGATTACGAAATATTCTTCAAGAATTAATCACGAAGTGGAATTTATTCGTCTTGTGCCTTTCGACCACGAAAATATAGCACGTGATGCGAGAATAAGGATATAAGGAGCTGAAGAACGGTATTAACAAGCAATTGAGCTTGGGATACGGCTATTTCGGTGAAAGATATTCCGGCAGTGTAATCATTGTATAAAATATAATTTTATTAAAAAATTTATGATTGATAATATCGTAGATTAAATGAACAACTCTTTCACTCTTCACTAACGGCAGCTAATACTGGGCTTTCAATTGTGATTTCAATCTCATTTGTTTGTGTTATTTATTCGCAAGTGGTCCCTCAAACGTTAACGTGATATTAAATTAGAATACAAATTGGCTCTAATGGATCTAATATGTACAGACGACGATGTCATAAGGCGAGACATATTCAATACTCTTGTACTCTATGAAAATATGATGATACTCTCATGGATTATGACATAATTTGTACTTTGATGCCGAGACACACTACTTCGACGAGCATCGAGCATTATTTTTCTTGAAGTGAGAACAATAGGGCTTAGAAAAGGGAACTTGCATGAAACTCAATTCTTTCCAATTCCCCTATTCACACATTCCTCGTAACATATCCCTGGTAAAACAGTCCGATTATTTCCGATTGGGTGATAAAAAATGAATCTGCGTTAATGATTTTTCTGTCTTTGACCGTTAAATTCCGATTGGCTGGTAGGTAGAGTTTGGAGTTTGAGAAAATTATGAGAATTAATAGGATCAAGGGTATGTGGCCGTTAGCGTCCGATTACTTTCCATAAAAGTGGTTGATAGATCTCATATTGCTCATAAATCTTCAATATTTATTGCTCATTTAAATATTTATATGCGTAATATGAGATCTATCAACCACTTTTTTGGAAGGTAATCGAACGATAACGGCCCCATACCCTTGTTCCCATTAATTCTCATAATTTTCTCAAACTCCAAACCCTACCTGCCAGCCAATCGGAATTTAAGGGTGCCAAGTGAATTGGGCGATGACCTTGAAAATTGACATTCACCAACAAAGTTATAATTTTTTAAATTAATAGTATTAGACAGATGGTGAACATCGGTGACAATTTCAAAATTTTAGAACTTATGGATATCGAGAAATTAAATAAACAAAATCAGTCTTATACACGGCCTCTTATGGAGTTTTGATTAAATTGAACGTTTCAACCCGCTAGGAACTCAAGAAAAATTTGAAAAAATTTGAAGATATGGGGAATGATGTGTTCAATGTGATGGCGACAAAAAACAATGGGGTACCGGTGTGAATAAGAGAGATATTTCAACCCGCCGTACCCATTTGATCCCATGCTTTCTCGAGGTTCGTCACGCGAAATAGAGGATTTTCCGCATTTATTTTCTCGATGTCTAGTTCCGGTTGCGGGTTTGAAATTTCGTCGGATAAATGAATACATATTTCTCCAATGATGGAGGGAAAAAAATTTTTTTTTAAAATCTTTTTTCAAATTCACTTGGCACCCTTTACGGACAAAGACAGAAACATCATTAACGCCGATTAATTTTTTATCACCCAGTCGGAAATAATCGGACTGTTTTACCAGGGATGGATAGCTACGCGGCGAAAATTGGAGAAATATTGCCTAGATGTGTTACAATAATTAATTGGAAATCAGTCGTTTTCGAGGACAATTTTTCGGCCATGACGTCACGAAGACGATCAGGTAACGCTTCATTGGTCAAAAAAGAAGAGAATGGGGAGTTGGCGTTCTCCATTGGCCGAGACGCACCTCAAGATTGGGTTAGGTCAGCCCCAGCCATTCTGTGATTGGTCCAGCACTCGACCGTCTGTGTGACGTCATTAGCGATTTCAAAGCGCTTGAAATCTTCAACTTTTAACGATTAATTATTCATTAATGAGCAATATTTCGAACGTTTGTAAATGAAAAATGAATTATTCAGGTTCCAAACTTGAGAAAGAAAATTGAAAAAAAAATCATGCAAGTTCTCTATTTTTCTGTACATATATTATGAAGCACTGTCGATACTCGAGCCGTAATTAGTGTTTCAAGACTAATTTTTTTACACGAAAAATTCTACATTCTAAGGAAAGATTCGCTCCTCTTGAAAAACATTCTCAAATTGAGAATGTAATTTCTTGATTTGATGATGGGGAATTCTCTATTTCAGAACACGTGTTGCGGATTGTGGACTAGTATTTTTAATTCAAGAAGGAAATATTCTTGATTCTGCAATATTCCAGTTTTCAATGAAAACTGTTTAGTCTTCAAAAAGACTAAACAGTTTTACTATTGACTCGAGAAAAAATGCTGTTGATTGAAGAATATTTGATTCCTGAATTAAGAATACCTAGTTATCGATAATTATTGTCGTTTCAGGAATAGATAATCCTGATTCAGGAATACAATATTCTTCATTCAACCGCATCTCCGTCAAGTTCTGGAATTGAGAATGATTTTTCAACGAAGAATATTAGGTCTTGAATGGAGAATCAAATTCTTTCGAATCAAGAATTTCCAAATTCTCGATTAAGGCCCGGGTGGATTATCTTTCCGTGATCTTCCTCGTTTTTTTTCATTTTGATAATCCGAAATGATCTGCAATTGCTATTTAGTTTTACATAGCCCTGGAGTCCCCAAAAATTCAGTAGCGAAACGGTAAACTGGGTCGATTTTGTCTATGTTGACTATTGCCCAGTTTTTGACAAATATCTCGGAATCTAAAAGAGGTAGTAAAATTTTCGACCCGACCTTTTTTATAGAGCCAATTGAGAGTTATAAAAAAGGTCATGAGAAAAATTTTGCTATCTCTCTTAGATTCCGAGATATTCACCAAAAACTGACCAAAAGTCAAAATCGACTTGACCCGGTTTATCGCTTTGCTACTGAATTATGATTGTACAATCAAAAAAACGTTGAAAAAAAGTTAAACATTTTCAAATAGCGTTTTTGAACAATATTGGGAAATAAACCCAACAGAGAGTAAATTGTAAATCAATAGTTTGATGTATCTAATGGCTGTTAAGTCGTCATTTGTCACAGTAGTCAATGGCTGTCAGATCGTTAGTTACCATGATAAACTATCCATTCACTATTTTCTCTCTATCGAACTTATTTCTTAATCTTTATTAAACATGCTCTTTGAAAATGTTCAGTTTTTTTTCTACTTTTTTTGATTGTACAATAATAATTTTTGGGGACTCCTGCATGATGTAAAATCCAATGGAAATTGTGATATATTTTACATCCTAGTCAGACTAAAATTTCTTTTCCCTTTGAAAATTCGTATTTTACTTATCTTCATTGAGAAATCAACATTTCGACAATGGAAACCATGGAAACCTGTGCCCTGAAATTAGGTTTCTGAGTGAAAAGAAGATTGTTCGCCTATATGAAGATAGAAAAACAATCGCGATAACGTTCGAAAGAAAATCCACCGACACCTTAAATTGTTTCATCCGTTTCCACCATACCCCATTCAAGAATCCCCATCCTCCCACATTCCTATCAAACCAAGAAGACCCGACCCTTAATGCACACTGAGAAAAAAATATATTTTTGCCAAATATTCATTTACTTGAGAGAAGTATTTATTTTTTAAAAATCGTATTTCTCCAATCGAGTCATTCCCAGGCGAGCCTGACTAAGTTTCAATTACAACAGTCATGTTGCTCTACAGGATGACTATGTTGCACATGACCTTGGATGAACTCTTCTAATGATTATTCATGTTTCCAAAAATTTTCATTTTCTACAGGGCAGAATTTCTATCAATGTTTTAATGTTGATAATTATTGAAGAAGTTCACTCAAGGTCATAACTAACATGATCATATTCTAGAGCAATATAATTGACATTATTGAAACCTAATGAGGATTGCCTAAGAATGACTCGAATGGAGAAATACGGTATTGAAAAAATAAATACTTCTCTCAAGTAAATGGATATTTGGCAAAAATAATTTTTTTTCTCAGTGCAGAGGCTTCGAAAAATAGGCAGAAGGTAACAAAGGTTTATCCAGCACCGCCCTCCTGAGTCCCACCCCCGAGGCACTCTTCGACCTGACCATATTGGCCCCCAAAGGCACATTGTTATTCTCATTCGCCCCATTGACCCCCGCAGTCTCCACGAGCCCAGCACTCGGTAACTTCTGGTAAATATTCATCCTCTCCATGGGTGTGCTGGTGCTCCCCATGTGGCCAGTCCTGCTGAAGGCCCCAGGTCCCACAGTGCTGTCCGTAATAACCCCGACCCCCGCACGTCCCGGAGAAGTCCTCGACGTCTGATTGGCATTGGACCCCTGCATTCCATTCCTCGGATTGAATCCACCAGTCGGAGGAGCACTCTGCTGCAGAGTAGCCCCAGTCGTTGGTGTTTTGCTCTCGTATTTGTTCGTGAGAAATTTATTAGTCCGTGGCAAAGTCAACTGAAAGTTCGAGGGGACATTAATGGCTGCTGGTGTCGTGACACTCTGCAGAGGCAACTGACTGTCAGCCAATCTGCGGTTCAACCAACTGATCACATTGTCATTATTCTTTATCGTCTTCTCCTGAGACTCCACCTGGGACTTGAGCGTTCTTATCTCACTCTGCAAACTTTCCACTTCGGATTTCAAGTCTTTGACGACTTTTGAGTTCTCCTCGAGCTTCGTCTCGAGCTGGCCAATCTCCTTCTGCTTTGTGTCCAGCAGCTTCTCCTGCTCTAGACAAATACTTGTTCTCAGTTTCAACTTGGACTTGGCTGTCGACAGCTCGTTCTGAATTTTTTTTATTATCTCGTTTGCTTTTATCACCTCTTCCCCCACGTGTTTCAGGGCATTCTGCTTTCTCTGGAGTTGATTCTCCTTTTCGGAGAGCAATTCCTCCAGCTGCTGTTTCTGCTCCTTTCCAGTCTTCCACATCTCTGTGTGCTTGTTGATGAGGATTGTCTTGTCTTTCAGGTCTTGCTCGAGAACGGCTACTCTCATTCTCAGGTCGTTCACAACTTTGTCTTTGTCGTGGTAGTCGACGTCGAGCTTTGAGTTTTGTTTCTTGAGGTGGGAGAGGTCACGCTGGGCGATTTCGAGGTCTCTCTCGAGGGTCTGGAGCTGCTTCAGTTGGTCTGCGTAGGTTGTCTCCAGGGAGCTTTGTTTCTCGCGGTAGGATAGGTTCTGAGCACGAAGGTCTGAGAGCTCTGCGTGGAGCTGCTGGAGGATCTCACTGTGGCGGCGCTCTATGTTGATCTTTTCTAGTTCGGAGAGCTTTTGCCATTCCAGCTTTGCTTGGGTCAATCTGCAACAATTAGGGGTCGATACAGTTATTGAATGATTCTCTTGTGGCCAAACCTGAATAAAAGAATTTAATGGGAAACTAGAGTGTTTTTTCTGAGTAATTCTGTTGGGTTTCTAACTGATTTTGAATGTCTCTATACTTAAAAAATCCAAACCGACTTCTGGTGATGAAAATTTGGTGCTCGAAATTAAGATTCCACAAGTAAAGGTCACAAGGGTCAGAGTAAGGGTCACGAGGGTCAAAGTAATGGTCATGAGGGTCGGATTAAGGGTCGTAAGGGTCACGAGTGTCAGAATAAGGGTCTCGAGGATCAGATTAAGGGTCACAAAGGTCAGATCAAGGGTCCAATTAAGGGTCATGGGGTCAGAAACTAAGGGTCATAAGGGTAAAAATAGGGGCGTCTATCTCTTTATATTATAAAATGAAAATCGACTTCTGGTGATGAACATTTGGTACTCGAAATTAAGACTCCACAATTGAGGGTCACAAAGGTCAAAATAATGGTCATGAGGGTCGGAATAAGGGTCATGAGGGTTAGAAAGATCATGAGTGTCCGAATAAGGGTCATGAGGGTTGGAATAAGGGTTATGAGGGTCGGAATAAGGGCCATGAGTGTCAGAATAAGAGTCACAAGGATCAGATTAAGGGTCACAAAGGTCGTATTATGGGTCCATATACGGGTCATGGGGCCAGAAGCTAAGGGTCACAAAGGTAAAAAGAAAGGTCCCTAATCTCTCTATATTATAATATCCAAATCGACTTCTGATGATGAAAATTTGATACTCGAAATTAACACTCCACAATTAAGGGTCACAAAGGTCAAAATAATAGTCATGAGGGTCAGAAAGGTCATGAGTGTTAGAATAAAAGGCACGAGGTTCAGAATCAGGGTCACGAGGATCAGATTAGGGGTCACCAGGTCGTATTATGGGTCCATATAAGGGTCATGGGGTCAGAAGCTAAGGGTCACAAAGGTAAAAATAAGGGTCTCTAATCTCTCTATATTATAATATCCAAATCGACTTCTGGTGATAAAAATTTGTACTCGAAATTAAGGGTCAAAATATGGGTCACAAGGGGTATAAAGAGGGTCATGAAGGTCAGATTAAGGGTCACAACGGTCAGAATAAACATCATGGGGGTCATATGTGGGCCATATCGGGGTTGACGAGCGGTGCGAGCAGGGGCCCTAGCCCCCTAGTAATGGAATAATTTTAATTTCACCTCATGATTTTTCCTAACTCTAAATAGAAACAGGAGATCAAAGAAACAATGGATAGGATTCTCCTCTAAATAGTTACTGTTCAAAATGTGGTGAATTTTTGTGCATACGATTCAAATAACAAAGAGTGTAATTTTTTTCAATAGTTTTTTCTCTAAATATCTTTGAATCCGAGGGAAGTACATGTATTTTTACATACGTATATCCAATATTATAAATTAATATCTTCGTTTGTTCACATTAATAACAAATAAAATGAAATAATTAAATTCTCACAGAATTGAGAGAAAAATTCAAAATTAATTTTCTACAATAGTTTTTTTCTAATTCGGAGAACTCTTACCATTCTAGTTTTGCTTGGGTCAATTTGAGACAATGCAAGACTGCCGATTGAGTACAAACTCAACCAGAATGTTTCTATTCATATTAACTTTCGTTTAAAATTTATTTCAGATTTTAGTCTTCAAAATTCAAGCTGTTTATACTACTTTAAAGAAATGAAGAGTAAATACATCGGATAATCACTCGAGGCGGGAAGGTGACTCACGATTCAATGGATGATGATTATTGACGGGAGACGTATGTCGAAAGAGCATTCAGAAGCTTGAATGACAAAACTGTTTTCGTTGATAGCTTCATGCTGACGTTCGACGGTGGTAATAAACTGTAATCATTGATAACCGAATTGACCCCCTCTGACGTTACAAATGTATCCATTTGTAGCGTTTGTCACATTTTTATGGATTATGATGTTGTTGACATTGAGATATTGGAAGTTCGTGGTCATCCGAGCAATTACTAATTTCAGAGCTGAACGATGAGGCTTAAAGAGGAAGTATCGATTTTTTTTGTGGTTAATTGCGGGAGAATTCGGAGAAAAGATCGGATAATGAATGATGTCATTTCTTTTTTTCTTGTTTTACGTAATATTCTCGATTCTAGAATGCTCAGCTCAGAATTACGACGGGATTTTATGGATTTCCAATATTATAAATATCTCTATTTTATAAATTTTTCTGGAGTAATTTTGTTCATGCTGAGATATTCAATGAGAAGAAATGAACAGATGTCGTTCCTGTTTTCCAGTAGTTCTTTCTGAATATTTTTTAATCCAAGGGAATTACATATATTTTCATATATGTATTTGCAATGTTATAAATAGCTCTATTTGTTACATTTTCATGAAATATAATATTGTTGACGTTGAGATTTTGAAAGTGCACGATCTTTTTAGTGTTTTCATATTCAAAAATAGAAGCAGAGATCGACAAAAATCACTACTTCAATGATATTAAAAGAAGTTTCCTTTGAGTTAATTAAAGTTCATCAATTTTTTATTGAATTTTGAAGGTAATTTCAATTTTCAATTCTTGTTAAACAATTGATTCCAAATTCCTGAATTTGATTTTTCGATTAATCAAGTAATCGTTAGTCTTTTGAAATCAATTAGTGATTTATAGAATATTTTAATATTTAAAAAAAATCTTTAAAATTTGAAAAATGGTAAAACATTCAACTAATTTTGTATGCAATGAAATAATTTTAATTTTACGTTGTGATTTTGCGTGACTCTGAATAGCAGCACGAGATCAACGAAAAAAGGGATAGGATTCTTCTGGAAATCGTTCCTTTTGAAAGTGACTGAAATAGCTCAAAATGTAAAGAATTTTTTATGCATAAGCTTTAAATGACAAACTATTTTTAAAAATATTTTTTGCTAAATAGCTTTGAATCCAAGGGAAGTACATGTATTTCCAATGTTATAAATAGCTTTATTTGTTAAATTTTCATGAAATGTGATATTCTTGACGTTGAAATTTTGAAAGTGCACGATCTTTTTAGTGTTTTCATATACAAAAATAGAAGCAGAAATCGACGAAAATCGCTACGTCAGTAATATTAAAAGAAGTTTACTTTGAATTAATTAAAGTTCACTAATTTTTTATTGAAATTGGAAGATAATCTCAATTTTCAGTTATTGTTAAACAATTAATTCCAAATTCCTGAATTTGATTTCAGTACCGAAGCGGTAAACCGGGTTAAGTCGGTTTTGACTTTTGGCCAGTTTTTTATGAATATTTCAGAATCTAAGAGAGATAGCAAAATTTTTCTCATAACCCTTTTTATAGCCCTCACTTGACTCTACAAAAAAGGTCATGACAAGAATTTTCCTATCTCTTTTAGATTCCGAGATAGTCGTCAAAAACTGGCCAATAGTCAAAATCGACTTCACCCGTTTTACCGCTTCGCTACTCATTTGGCAATTAATCAACTAATCACCAATCTTTCGAAATCAATTATTGATTTATAAAATATTTGATGATTTGAAAAATTTTATTTATGATTAATGCAATCTTTAAAATTTGAAAAATGGTAATAGATTCATCTAATTTGGGATGCAATGAAATAATTGTAATTCAACATTATCTTGCCTAACTCTGAATAGAAGCACGAAGCACGAGATCAACGAAAAAAGGGATAGGAATCTTCTGTAAATAGCTACAATTCAAAAGTGACTGGAATTGTTCAAAATGTAAAGAATTGTTTACGCATAAGCTTCAAATGACAACGAATGTCATTTTTTTAAATAGTTTTTGCTAAATATCCTTGAATCCAAAAGAAGTACATGTATTTCCAATGTTATAAATATCTCTATTTGTTACATTTTCATGGAAAATAATATTGTTGACGTTGAGACGTAAAAATACACAATTGTTGAAATGATTTCATGTTTTAAAATAAAACTATGAATCACGAAACGAAGAACCTTGGATAGAATTTTTCTGCGAGATATTTATCTTTGGAAAATTGAATAAAATTGTACAATTTCAGAGCATTTCTCTAAATTAAGGGTCAGAGTACAAGAAATTTCTTCTTTTTTTCGTATTTTTCGATCATTATCTTCAATTTCACACATACACTGAGAGAAAAACGACAAAGTTTTCAAACAAGTCTTAATTGCGCCAAGAAAATGGTTTTTTGAAAATGATCAAAAAAGGATTTTTTTTGTGCCAAACATGCAAAGAGTGCACCGGAATGAATTGTTTTTGTAAAAATAACTATTAATAATAATAATTTTTTGTAATTTGTTTATTTTTTTCTTTTTTTTAATTTTTTGCAAAAATGGATTTAGTAGTTTAAAAAAATGGCATCCTTTTTACACGCAAGAAATGTCATTTCTAGTACTACTCGTTCGTTATTCAATACTCCCATACGTATTTTGCTCCCTAAAAATATTTGTTTTATGCGAAACAAGGGATAGGTAGTTTTTCGTTTTAGCTGTCTAATAATCATAGACAAAAAAATGAACCCTTAAGGCCGGGATGTACTATCTTTCGAACGTTATCTCGATATTTTTTTTCATCTTTCGCCATCTGACATTGTCAATTGAGTTCTGCATCATGCAGAAGTTTTGAAAAATTATGAATGAATAATCATAAAAAAGTAGAGGAAATTCTTAATTTTTTCAGAGAGCATTTTTAATTTATATTCAGACTAAGTTGAATAACAAGAAATTGAAAAATGTATCTGATTTACGGTGACAAATGGCGGCCTGTCACCCAATATCATGCAGGGGGAAGACTGATTTCGTAAATCTTTTCCCACACTGCACAGAGACATTTATTACGGAAAAGGCTCTTTGAAAAAAGTTGTAATATTTTGGAGAATTTTTTAATCACACTTTTATCACATAAAAATGGCAGATGACTACATACCACTGTTTTGAAAATTGAGATACCTAGCTGTCACTTACCATGAGGAGTTAGTGTTTTGTTATCCACCATGAAAAATGACAGCTAATAGATAATTTGCCACAGCAAATCAGATATTTGTAATTGCCACTTTTTTCAACTCATTCTGAATCTCAATTAAAAACGCCCTTTGAAAAAGTACAGAATTTTTTCTATTTTTTTTCATCATTCTATCATAATTTTTGGGAATTTCTACATGATGTACCACTCAATTGACAATTTTGGATTACGAAAGATAAAAAAAATCCAGATAACATTCGAAAGATAGTACACCCGGGCCTTAAATGAAACAACAACAATGATATGATAGCAATCTTGTAACTTGGGGATAAAATATTTGTTGATAAATTTTCCTCTATATGAGATATTTTCATCCTGAAAAGGTACCGTCTGGTGTGAATTATCGACCTCTTGAGCCAAATATTTCATTGCTGTCGAAGGCAGAACCATTATTCATATTTGAGACTTTCAAATTCGAACAAAAAAAATTCTTTTTTAACCATTTTCAACTAGCGATTTTGTTGGGCCAAACAAGACTTGTTTGAAAACGTGTTTGTTTTTCTCTCGGTGTATTTCTAAACTGATGTCGCTCACATAATCGATTCTGCTTAATGAACAGGGCCTTCACAAAATCAAAAAGTGCAGAAATGACGAGAATCCTCACCTTTCTTTTTCAATACTCAATTGGTGCGTCGTTGTCATCTGCAACTGGCTCTTCTCAGTCAAAAATCTCTGCTCCAACTGCTCGTACTCCCTGACTTTGCTCTCGAAATCCTCATTAAGTGCATTCAGTCTCGTCTCCAACCCCAGAGCCTCTCTGTTCCTGTTCCCAAGATCCTCCTTCAGCTTTTTTATCTTCATCGCCATGTGTGTTTTGATATCGTGGTCACTGGCGGGTGCAATGCTGAGACTCAGATGGCACAAGTGTTTGAAGTTGTTCGTCTCGACTAGTTTGAAGATCCACTCGCCATTCTCTTCAGCGAGGAGGAGCAGGAATTTAGGCGGACCCTTTGATGCCCCAGGGGAGGAAACGTTGCACTGCTCGAGGAGGCATATGAGTTGGGTTGCGAAGTTGTCGAAGTCGACGAGGAGACCCTGCTGGGCCTTGAGGATCTTGAAGTCCTCGTCGTTGATGAGGAGGGAGTAGAGGAAGCAGGGATCGTCATCGTCTGCTAGGAGAACACACAGGCTCTGAGGAATTTAATACAAACGTTGAGGGACTAATCGGAGAGGTCAAGTGTAGCAATAAAACAAGCGGGGGCCGAGCCTTTCTGTCAGAAAGCATGCGACCGTTACTTGATGCGTTATTTGGCTTTTTCATTTTTTATTTCAACGAATTCCATTGGTAGTAAGCTTCCCAATTGATCCGTAGGAATTTTAGTTTTTAATTGAAAAGTGCACTGAGAAAAAAAATGATTTTTGCCGAACATTCATTTATTTGAGAGAAATATTTATTTTTTCAAAATCGTATTTCTCCAATCGTGTCATTTGCAGGCGAGCCTGACTAGGTTTCAATTCAGTAGCGAAGCGGTAAACCGGGCTAAGTCGATTGTAACAATTGGCTAGTTTTTGACGAATATCTTGGAATCTAAAAGAGATGGAAATTTTTTTGTCATGACCTTTTTTATAGGATCAATTGAGGCTTATAAAAAAGGTGATAAGAAAAATTTTGCCATCTCCCTTAGATTCCGAGATATTCATCAAAAACTGACTAGAAGTCAAAATCGACTTAACCCGGTTTACCGCTTCGCTACTGAATTATAACAATCATATTGCTCTAGAGGATAACTATGTTGCACATGACCTAGGATGAACTCCTCCAATGACTATTAATTTTTTCTAACCTTTTTGTATTCTGGAGGGAAGAATTTGGATTAAGTTTTGAAGTTGATAATTATTGAGGAATAATTATTGTTCACTCAAGGTCATTGCTAACGTTCATCTTCTGGTGCAATATAATTTTCATAATTGAAACTTGATGAGAATTGCTGGGAATGACTCGATTAGAGAAATACGGCTTTGAAATAATAAATACTTCTCTCAAGTAAATGGATACTTGATAAACAAATTTTGTTTTCTCAGCGTGGCATTTTTTATTAAAAAGGTTTCCTCGAAACGTTTGACCTTCTAAATTGAGAATTAAATTTCGGTTTTATTCAGTGGGATAGGCATATTTAAAAACTGGCCAACAGTCAAATCGACTTAACCCGGTTTTCCGCTTCGCTACTGAATTTTTGGGGACTCCAGGGCTATATAAAACTGAATAGCAATTGTACATCATTTCAGATTATCAAAATAAAAAAAATAACCAAGATTATGTTCGAAAGATGATCCACTCGGGCCTTAAATGAGTCGATGAATTTAGAAATTGTACAAGAACTCGAGAGAAAATGTCCCAGCGAACAAAACGAACTCAAGTTCACCGAAATCGGGTGAAGTGTGTAATATCGAACAATGTCAACAATTGACGGTCAATATTGATTCAATTGATTATCTCGGGTTGGGTCACAGTCGAATGCCCTTGATCCATTCTGATCGAGGAGAATTCGACAGTTGGTAAAAAGAAAAGCCTAAAATGTATTTCAATAAAAAACAATTGGAGTTTCAGCTTGCAGATTTGACTCAGGCATGATTTTTTCCACTGGATTTATTCTCTTCCTCCTAGACGGCCATGATACCGCAGATAACAATGAGAGGAAAAGTAAAGGAGGGGAGGCAGGCTAGAGGAGGGGTTTCAAATCGAAAACTACTCCGATAAAACCAATGAAATAGAAAAAAAAATTTTTTTTTCAAATATTCTCTTCTTCCTAGGAAACAGGAAAAGAATTTTCAACTTAGTTGAATGTCATCAGCATCATTATTCCTTTTACCCCTTTCCTTCTATACAACCAATTGTCCTTTTTACAAATCGACCTCTCCCCTCAGCTCTTCGATAAAATGTTGATAGAAAAATTTGATTTGCACATACTTGAATGAATTTGAACCATCACATTTGAGGAAACCATCAGAAAGCTCACTTTCAGGGGAATTCATTTCCTGAGCCGTCATTCAATGAATTTGGAAAAAAATCCAAAATTAAAAAAATGAATTAATGAATTAAATTTGAATTCATGGCGATGGATAGAGCTTAGCAATACCTTCATTTAAGGAAAAAAATCATTCAATTCCGTCGATTCTTTAGCGAGAAATTAACGAAAACTTTTTCACATACATATGTACATACACTGAGAGAACAACGACAAAGTTCTCGAACAAATCTTTCTTGTGCCAAGAAAATAGTTCTTTGAAAATTATCGAAAACGGATATTTGTGGGCCAAACATGCAGAGAGTGCGCCGGAATGAAAAATTTTTGTCGCAAAAATAGATTGAGTAATTCAAAAAAAATTGCATTCTCTGTACACGCAAGAAATGTCGTTTCTAGCACTACTCCTTCGTTATTCGATACTCCCATACGTATTCTGCTCCCGAAAAATCTTTGTTTTACGCGAAACAAGGGATAGTAGTTTTTCGTTTCGACTGTCTAATAATCACAGACAAGAAATAAACCCTCAAATGAAACAATAATAATGATATAATAGCAATCTTGTAACTTAGGGATAAAATATTTGTTGATAAATTGTCCTCTATATGAGATATTTTCATCCTGAAAAGGCACCGTCTGCTGTGAATTATCCGCCTCTTGAGCCAAATATTCCGTTGCTGTCGAAAGCAGAACAATCATTCATGTATGAGACTTTCAAATTCGAACCAAACAAATTCTTTTTTGGCAATTTTCAACTAGCGATTTTGTTGGCCCAAACAAAACTTGTTTGACGTGTTTGTTTTTCTCTCAGTGCACACATACACTGAGAGAAAAATGATAAAGTTCTGAAACAAGTCTTTCTTATACCAATAAAATAACTTTTTGAAAATTATCAAGAAAGGATTTCTTTGTGCCAAATATGCAGAGTCCGCTGGAATGAAAAATTCTTGACGCAAAAATAGATTTAGTAGTTAAAAAAGAATTGCATTCTCTGTACACGCAAGAAATGTCATTTCTAGCACTACTCCTTCGTTATTCAATTCTCCCATACGTATTTTGCTCCCGAAAAATCTTTGTTTTACGCGAAACAAGGGATACTAGTTTTTCGTTTCGACTGTCTAATAATCACAGACAAGAAATGAGAAAGCAGAACAATCATTCACGTTTGAGACTTTCAAATTCGAACCAAACAAATTCTTTTTTGGCAATTTTCACCTAGCGATTCTGTTGGCCCAAACAATAATTGTTTGACAACGTGTGTGTTTTTCTCTCAGTGTACGGACACGGTCTAAAAATGCATTTTCCGACTTTTAGGATCATAATAGGTCGATATAACCCAAAAAATCCAAAACTTAAATTTGAACGATTACAAAGCTTCCATTCGAAGGCAAGAAAATAATAGAATCAATCTCATTGATTTGAAAATCCACTCACTGTTCCCTCTCCACGTCAAAACAAACAGATATAGGTTAACTCGAGAGCGAAAAAAAACTACCTTCTGACAGACCGGACTGATCCCCGAGTGGATCTCCACGTTGACCCTCAGATCCTTCTGCCTCTCCTCCTTATGCTGTGGTTTCACATACACTCTCTGCACTTTTGTATACAATACTTCAACATTATTAAGTTGCATGGCATCTCCAGTCTTGACGTTATTCACCGATATACTCTTCATGAAATTCATCTCGTCCCTTATTAGTGTCTCATAAATGAGGCATGACGGTCATCAGTCATTTGGGATAAAACAGTATTGAATTAACATCAATTGAATCGATGGAGTTCAGAGATAAACAGACTAATGACGTTCCAAGTTTCAAATTGTCAGCGTCTCGGGATCGTGTTGATCCAGTACTGTTTTTTTAATGGTCCTGCTTCCGTCCGCAGCCGGTCATTGGCGCTGGGAGGACTGATCATTCCGTAGGAGAACGGAACCAACGAGAGATCGCAGAGATTTCCCACGCGATGTTCGTGCGGATTTTGAATCAATTCCATTGGCCTTCTCCGTTGGATCCTGAGATTTGGGGCATTTCGATTGGTCCTGGATGTTTCGTGGTGGGCGAAGGAGTTTTATTTAAAAATCTGTACTCCAATCCCCAGTTGAATATTTCGACCTGAAACTTCCTGACTGAATTATTCCAGTTATGTAGGGGAGGGTGGGGTAAAATGGACACTTTAGACTTTTTTTTAATTGTTCATAACTCAGAAACAAATTTATCAATTGAGCTCAGTTTAGGCTCGCCACAAAGGGAAAGAATTCAGTAGTGAAGCGGTAAACCGGGTTAAGTCGATTTTGACTTTTGATCAGTTTTTGATGAATATCTCAGAACTTAAGAGAGATAGCAAAATTTTTCTCATGACCTTTTTTGTAGAACCAATTGAGGGCTATAAAAAGGTCATGACAAAAAATTTTCTATCCCTTTTAGATTCCGAGATATTCGTCAAAAACTCGCCAATAGTCAAAATCGACTTAACCCGGTTTACCGCTTCGCTACTGAATTGTTCTTCGTATTGAAAAAAAAATTATTAAATTTCATCAACATTTCAACCCCTCATTAACATTCAAAAAAAGTCAAGTGTCCGTTTTACCCCAACAACCTCTACCGTTTAGGAAGTTTTCAGGTTTTACAAGGAGTTGTCCAAGTCGAATGTTTCGGTCCGGTTTAACCTCTTGAAGACTTTCACAACCGTTTTTATTACTTGTGCGGAAAGTGAAGTGCTACTTCCCACAGATTGAGATGAAAAATAGGGTTCGACGCTCGCGGAAAGTGTTCTTTGACTCTTGGACACCTCCCACGGGTCAACATAGTATATTATGCCACCAGGCGATAAAAGTATTATCTGGCGAATGTGAATTATAATCCGAGCCGAAGGCGAGAATGAATCATCATGAATTCTCATCACGCCCAAGTGATGAGAATTTCTTTTTTCATCACGCTGTGCGAAAAAGTAACTTCGCGTGCCTAAAACGTCCCTTTTCCACACATTGTGATGAAAAATATCGTTCGATACTCGTGGGAAAAGTGTTTTTTGGCTCGTGGGAGGTTTATAGCACGAGCCGAAGGCGAGACTTTTCCGCACTCGTAACGAAATATACTATTACGCACAAATAATGAAATAGTATATTTCGTAACGAGTGCAAAATAGTATATTTCGTAACGAGCTAAAAAACATTTTTTCACGAGTTACGAACAATATTTTTCATCACAATGTGGCGGAAATTGGACTTTTAGGCACGCAGAGCGTGCCGAAAAGTTCACTTTTCGTCACAGCGTGATGAAAAAGTAATTTTTTAGGATTAAAAGAGACGTAATTTTTATTGAATATTTCTCTCCATGAACTTTCCTCCCTCGGGAACAACTTTTCACCCTTGAGAATCATTCACATTCACTAGGATAATTTTTGATGGAATGCAGTGCAAATTTTACAGTTTCGGAACAAATTTTCCTCACGTTCAGTCAAATTTCCCGGGCCAGCGAGGAAAAATTCACTATTCGTCTCGCATTTTTTCCCGATATCGGGTGGGAAAAAAGAAAAATTGAATTCGCTCCGCAATTGACTTGTTTGGTAATTTTTTTCTAACTTTCTTCTCCGCATAGCCTATACCTATGAGTCATTTAATACATAATTAGCTGGAACTTTTTCATTTAAAAAATCAGAAAATTATGGAGATTCGGCTCGTGATGTTTTTGCTAATTAGAAATGATTTTTCATTTAGATATAAACGAATCTTGATTCCCTACTGGTAGGAATCGGAAGGAAGAAATAAAAATAGCGCGTAGAGCAGTGGTCGCACGCCTCCTGCAGAATGTTTTCTGTCACACTGCTTGTTTATCTTCAGCGCCGGGTGTTTTAATATCGTTATCGCTGACGGGTGCAATGCTGGGACTCTGATGGCACAAGTGTTTAAAGTTGTTCGAATGTCTGGACTGATTTGAAGCTCCACTCTCTCCACTCTCCATTCTCTCCGGCGAGGAGGAGCAGGAATTTCGGTGGACCTTTTGAGTTGGGTCGCGAAGTCGTCGAAGTAAACGGGGAGAACCTGCCGGGTCTTGAGGAGCTTGAAGTCCTCGTCGTTGATGAGGAGAGAGTAGAGCAAGCAGGGGTCGTCATCGTCTGCTAGGAGATCACACAGGCTCTGAGGAATTTATACAAATGTTGATGGAGTCATCGATGAGGTGAGGTGTAACAATAACGATGGAATTTCATTGAATTTGATATTTTTAATTTAACCCCTCACGTACGGGCTCGGTATGTCATACCGACCCATGCAAAAACGCACGGCTCTTTTCAAAATTAAATATTTCCGACACAATGGCCGATAATACAATTGGATTAATACCATTGGGAAGGTGAATACTGTAGCTTCAATTATATATTTTATTTATAATTTTTCATTCATCAGAAAATGTGGGATGCGAAGAGTATTGAGCGTGAGGGGTTAAACCTTGGAGAAAGGCCTCGAAAAAGACGTAAAATTAGTGGAATCTCATTCTGCCAATTTTGGGTTATGAAAAATGATGATGATGGTGTTGATTTTACAACGGTGATGATGATTTTATTGACGATATCAATTAACCCCTCACGCAAAGAGCCCATTCAACGCGACTTCTCCCAACGGCCGGGAGACTTACGGCGCGGCAACTCCGGTATTCAATGAACGATAACTTAAAAACAGTCGAACAAAAAAAAATTGAAATAAACTGCATTGACTGTATTGCACTCTGAAATAAACTTCTAGAGAATTTCCTGCTTTTTTACACTAATTTCAATGTTTGCCGAGAATTGGTTGCCGAGATCTTCGAACATGCTAAATTTATTTATAACAAACAAATTATTCAACAAATCGACACTTAACTTCTGCCATTCGATAGAAGGATCATTGAAGTATTTTCAATAAAAATTTCAACATTTTTGGGGGACATTTTGTCGATAAACGAAATGATTTAATATGATTGAATCGGTTGGATGTAAAATTTTCATCTACAATTTTTGTTCATAGAAAAAAATATAAATGGATTGAATAAATAAAATAAAATAAAATAGTTCACTGCAGAGACAATTCCATCGACTTTCCAGATATCTTTTCCAAATGTTAATATGTCTCCTAGAATTCGAGAAAATGATTTTTTATTGTTGGCGGAAAGGGCCGAACCATGCATTGACCCCGACCGATAGAAGAAGTTTATTAGAGCTGCGGGACACCGTCGATTTTCGGACATGTACTGACCACTCGCGTTCTAATGCGTAATTCGTATTTTAAACAATAAAATATTATCACTAAACGTCAAGTAAACAATTTTCAGTTAATGTTAGGCATTGGAATGATTTATTATTAACAATTAAATTGTTCAAATCGCCCCAGCACCCAAACTATGAAGTATAGACGAAAATTTTTAAATCATGAATCATCTAGAATTTAATAAGGAATCATTTTTGTTTATTATCAATTTTACCTATCTCTCGTAGATTCTGAGATATGAGCAATAAACTAGTTACGCGACCCGACACAGAGCTCTGTACTTGCGGTGCGCGATGAGCTTGAAGCGCTGTGTTGGGTCACGCAACTCTTTTCTTGTTCATATTTCGAAATCTAAAGGAGATATGTGAAATTGACAAAAAACAAACATTATTCCTTATCAAATCCTAAATGATTCGTGACTCGAAAATTTTCGTATATCTTTCATAGTTTGGGCGCTAGGATGATTTGAACAATTAAATTGTTGATAATAAATAGTTGCAATGCCTAAAATTGATTGGAGATTATTTACTTGACGTTCTGTGATCATAGTTCATTGTTCAAAAAAAGAATTACGCATTAGAACGCGAGTGGTCAGTCGGTCAATTTAGAAGCTCTTTTTCGGGGTGTCCCGCAGCTCTATATGGGTCGATGCATGGTGTATCGACGCCGTACGTGAGGGGTTAAATAGATTTCTACAAAATTATTTTTCGACCTCTTAATCTACATTCATGCATTGAGAGAAAAATTTTTTGACTCAAACGCTCAGTGCTTTTCAATAGTGCCAATGAAATAATCCATTGGCAATATGAAATGTTTTGTCATTTTCAGTCGATTGCATTATTAAACTGTATGCTTCAATAGTTGATTCTGAGGGCTCCAAACATGATGCTTATGATTCGATCTTATGAGGGCTCCAATCGATCATATCAGTAGCGAAGCGGCAAACCGGATCAAGTCGATTTTGACTTCTAGTCAGTTTTTGATGAATATCGCGGAATCTAAGGAAGATAGCAAAATTTTTCTCATTACCTTTTTTATGAGCCTCAATTGATCCTACAAAAAAGGTCATGACAAAAAATTTTCCATCTCTTTTAGATTCCGAGATATTCGTCAAAAACTAGCCAATAGTTACAATCGACTTAGCCCGGTTTACCGCTTCGCTACTGATATATTCCTTCGTATTTCCTGAATATTTCATCGAATTTTAATAGCTATTTGAATGCATCAGGTTCCGTCGATTCGAAATCTGATTGTAGGCGACATCAACGGAATCGTAATCAATAATATATTTTTAATGAAACAAAGCCTCATTTTCGAAGGAATATTCCGTTACCTACGCTTTCTGAGGAATCCACTCTTAAAGGAGTCCACTCTTAGTTTCTGACCCCCATGACCCTTATTTGGACCCTTCATCTGACCCTTATTTAGATCCTTAATCTGACCCTTGTCAGCCTCATTTGGATCCTTAATTTGACCCTTAATCTAACCCTTATGACCTTTAATCTGACCCTTATGACCCTTAATCTGACCCTCATGACACTTATATTGAGCCTTAATCTGACCTTTGTGGCCCTTAATCTAATCCTTATGACGCTCATTTAGATCCTTAACCTGACCCTTTTTACCCTCATTTGGATCCTTTGGATGAAGAATTAATGCGTTAAAAGAATGAAATTCTATTTTGATCCGAAGGAACATGCATCCAATAATATATACTCCGTAGAAACTACGATATTTTTCTCTCAGTGTGGCAATTGAGATCTTTTTACTCTTCGGAATTTTGTTTTCCTTTCCATCAGCTTCTGCTTTTATAATTTTTTAAGGCTCTGAAATTTAAAACAGAAGTTGAACTCATCGAAAACGCAAACTGTAGCAATAACAATTCCAATGTCGTTAAATTAGTTATTTATTTCAATTATTATTAACTGAAATCTCGAAGGAAGAACCTGAGAACATGATAAAAATCAAGAATATCATTCCTCCAATTTTGAATCTGCGCCGGACTCTGATCATTCCCTTGAGGAGCGGATTTCGCCTATCAGAGACGACGAAAATTTCCCGCGTGATGTTCATGTGGATTTTAAATAGATCCCATTAGTCATTTCCGCTGGATCCCGCGGTTTGGCGCTCTCTGATTGGCTCTAACCGTTTGTCGGCGGGTGGACTATCAAGGGGAAGAGCTGGCGCAGGCGCAGTGTCGCCGTCATACCGGTTGCACCCGCGCGCGGTACCGTGTTCACATCTCCATGCAATTCTTCACATATTTATCGTGATTTTAATATTTTCGTGAGTGCTCGTGGGGTCAATTGATCAATCAACTTGTGGAATTCGTCCTCGGGCCCTAGTTTTATTATTCTCGTTGTGATTCTGGAGTTGTTCTGGGGGGAGTGAGTGCACATCAAGTCTCGAAGAATTTTTGTTTATGTGGGTGATTGAGAATGGTGGGATTCATGTGCAATTCACGTGACTTGTGGGATTTACTGGCGGCTGTTGGGGGTGGACAGCACCGGGGATTTCGAAAATTCGAGGTGAGATGAGTTATGTAATGTAATTTGTCGATTTTGGTGGATCACTCGGCTGCGTGACCCTTTGCGGCACATTCTTCGGGATTTTTTTCGTATTTATTTCGCGTTTTGAGGGCGGGATTTGGTCGTGAGAGGTGAAGGGTGCCGTGCACTCACATGTTCGTGGAATTTCCACGTTTGCGGAGTCAGCGGTATGTGGACTATTCGGTGCTGCCATCTTTGTTAGAGACTGGGTTTGGGCTCCTGCTGGTGGAGGGTTCAAAACTAGAGATGCAATGCGTTATATGACCTGTCATTGGAGATGCAAAATGACCGTCATTTTTTAGATCGCGTCATATGAGCAAAAAATGATGGTCTTGTGACGGTCATGTGACGCACAAATGTTCCAAATACAAATGATTGTCACAAATCATTTGTAACCAAATTGTTGTCAAACCCTCTATATAATTGCATAATGACGGTCATAACTAATTTCCAATTTGTGACGATCATGAATAAAACAAAATAATTTCATCTATATGGATGGAAAAAAATCGTGATGTCCATTACAAAATGCGGATTAGCAACATTTCAACCCGTCATTAACATTTTTAAAAAAGTCAAAAGTGTCCATTTTACCCCAGCCTCAAAAATTAATCATCCAATTTCAATTTTTTTTTCAAAATATTCGTCTTGATATCTCCTATCTAGTCCTCTGTCAAAAAAAAAGGTGAAACGTTTTCTGTCACCGATCTATTCCACAAAGTCATGTCATGTTAATGGAATAAGAATTCTAGTCTTAGCTTAGCTTTGATTATTTTATTTTTACGTATTACATATTTTTAAATGACAGGAAAATTTATTTTCACAAAAAAAATTCAAAGAAAAATAGTAATTTTTTTTCTGATCTAAAAAAATAATAAATCAATAAATGAATGAATATATACAATTTTTTTTATATGAAGAAATTCTTTTAAATTATATATACCCGTTTCTACAAAGTTTACGAGATATTAGCGTTATTCTATTTTTCAAATCTGATGTTAAATTCGTATTTATCTTCTCCCGGCCATTGTTAGAGTATTTACATAAAATAATAGCTTCATGTTTACTTATTCCTCCTGCAGATAACAATCTCTGGATCGTACAGCAAATACTGATGAGTCGCAAGTCCTTCTATGAATATGCAACGAATTTCGTTAACTATTAAAATAATCGAATGTTGAGAATTCTCAATTGATCAGATTCCCAATAGAGTTTTAAAGATTTTTGGGTAATTTATTGGGTTCATTAGTGATTACTTGACATTCAAATTAAAGAAGTTGACGGGAAAGGCTGGAATAAAAATCAACACGTACGAAGCATCAAATCATCAAATGTCATGTTGTTAAATTTGTCGTCATCTGTTCTGCCCACATTATGAAGGCTGAGAAGTCTATGTTCATTTATTCATTCTGTGAATAATCGTCTCTTGACTGTACGTCAAACGTGAAAGTCCCTCGGGCAATGGTGAGTTGCAAATCCTTTCATGAACATAGAACGAATTTTGTTGGAAATTTGAATAATCAAACTGGTGATTAATTTGACGGGATGGAAATGCGAGTCCATTTTCCACTGGTTTCTCCATGCCTCTTCACATTCCATTGAAATGAAATACATCGACGAGAAAAGCTAGAATGAAAATTGGCATATGAAGCACCAAATAATTTTTTGCTGACATTTCGAAGTTCTACAATTTCACATCCATCCACTCTTGCTAACATTAAATAAACCACAACATCTAACATTAAATAAGTTGAAAAATTATGTTAATTAGTCTAACATTAAATGTTAGTACTGGAGTCCCTCAAATAATGATGCAAGCTCTTTTATGAACTTGGAATGAATTTCGAAAAAAAAACAAATATTCAAATGTTGAGATACGTATGAAAAAAATTAATAGAAAACTTTAGCGAATTCACTAGAAAATTCTATTGAATTCTATTTTTCTATGGGGATTCTATTGAAATATTAGGGAATTTTTGTTAAAATTCTGTTTGTTTTTTGCGCAGGTTCGATTAGATGTGTAGATGTTTATAGATGTTTGATAGGAAAAAGTCAATAGATGTCGATTTTTCTGTTTGAATTTTTCTCTTGAGATTTTTTCCATCAAAATTATTGGCCACGGATTTTCCAATTTTTTTCCGCTATATTTTCTGTTGTTTTAAATTACACGATCCGAGTGAAAAAACAAATTTCGTGTCAAATATCTCAGAGAATCAGCGCGAAAAACAAATAGAATTTTAACGAGAATTCCCTAGAATTTTAATAGAATCCCAGTAGAATTTCTAGAGAATTCCAAAAGAATTTTCTTGCGAATTCGTGAAGGTTTTCTATTGAAATTTTTCATACGTGGAATACCCCATGGATGAGATAAGAAACTCACGAGAGCCTCGAGAAAAACTAGATAATCCCAAGTTCAAGCGAAAAAACGGAAGAGTAACAGTCGTTCTTTAAGCATTCATAAAAATAAAGATGAATATCCCGGTAATTAGGTTTATTGGTGATTAATTTGACTAGATGATCAATTAAGGTTTTTCCAACTGTTTTTACATGTCGCTTCGCATTCCATTGCAATCAAATAAAGTAACGAAAAAAACGAGAATGAAAATAGGCATCTAAAGCATCAAATAAGCGAATATCATCTCGTTTAATTTTCTTCATCTTTTTTACCGACAATTGAAAATTTTACAATTCTAAATTCATTCACTCTTGTCGTAAATAATCATTTCTAGCTTATTTACATCAAATTTTAGTGCTGGAGGTCCTGAAACAATGATGCAAGCTGTTTTGTACACTTGTAACGAATTTCGTTAAAAAATTAAATAATCAAATGTTGAGAATCCCCAATGGATGAGATGAGACGCTCACGAGAGCCTCGAGAAAAACTAGATAATCCCAAGTTCAAGCGAAAAAATGGAAGAATAACAGTCGTTCTTCAAGCATTCATAAAAATAAAGATGAATATCCCGGTAATTAGGTTTATTAGTGATCAATTTGACTAGATGATCAATTAAGGTTTTTCCAACTGTTTTCACATGTCTCTTCGCATTCCATTGCAATCAAATAAATTAACGAAAAAAACAAGAATGAAAATAGACATCTAAAGCATCAAATAACCGAATATCATCTCGTTTAATTTTCTTCATCTTTTTTACTGACAATTGAAAATTTTACAATTCTAAATTCATTCACTCTTGTCATAAATAATAGACAAGATTAACACAAGGTCATTAGACAAGATTTTTTGTCGTAGATTATGTACATCAAATTTTAGTGCTGGAGGTCCTCAAACAATGATGCAAGCTGTTTTATAAACTTGTAACGAATTTCGTGAAAAATTAAATAATCAAAATTAAATAATCAAATACAGAGAATCTCATTGGAGACAGGAAAATCACGAGAGCCTCGGGAAAATCTTGATGAACCGAAGTTCAAGCGCAAAAACTGGGGAATTACGTGTGGAGTAGTTCTTCACGCATTCATAAAAATGTAGATGAATATCCCGGTAATTAGGTTTATTGGTGATTAATTTGACTAGATGGACAATAAAGTTTTTTCCCACTGTTTTCCACATGTCCCTTCACATTTCATTGAAATTAAATAAATCGACGAGAAAAGCTGGAATGAAAATAGGCATATGAAGCATCAAACAATCGAATATCATCTCGTTCAATTTTTTTTATCTTCTGTTACCGACAATTCGAAGTTTTACAATTGCCCATCCATCCAGTGTTCCTATAAATAATCATTTCTAGATTATTCACATCAAGTTTTACTACTGAAGACCCTCAAACGACGACGCCAGTTTTTATTATGAACTAGTTACGGATTTCGCTAAAAAATCAAATGGTCAAATATTGAGAATCCCCAATGGATGAGAAAGGCAACTCACGAGAGCCTCGAGAAAATCTGGTTAAACCCAAGTTCAAGCGCAAAAACTGAGGAATTACGTGCGAAGTAGCTCTTGAAAGATTCATAAAAATAAGGCTGAATATCCTGGTACTTAGGTTTATTGGTGATTAATTTAGTAGCGAAGTGGTAAACCGGTTTAAGTCGACTTATCTCCCAGTTGAATTTTTGAGGAATATTTCCGAATCTAAGGGAGATAGCGAAATTTTTGTAATTACATTTATTGTAGCTCTCAATTGGCTCTACAAAAAAAGGTTGTAACAAAAATTTTGCTATCTCCCTTAGATTCGGAGATGTTCATTGAAAACTGGCCAATAGTCAAAATTGACTTGAACCGTTATACCACTTCGCTACTGAATTTGACTAGAGGGACATTTATGTTTTTTCATTTCATTGAAATTAAATAAATTGACGAGAAAAACTAGAATGAAAATAGGCATATGAAGCCTGAAATAATGGAATATCACCTCGTTCAATTCTTTTCATCTTTCTTGCCGACAATTCGAAATTTTACAATTTCACATCCATCTACTCTTCCTGTAAATAGTAATTTCTCGCTTATTTATATAAAATTTGAGTGCTGGAGGCCCTCAAACTCTTTCATGAACTCGAAACGAGTTTTGCTAAAAATCCAAATGATCAAATGTTGAGAATCCCGAATGGATAAGATAAGAGAGTCAAGAAAGCCTCGAAAAAATTTGCCTAATCCCAAGTTCAGAAAAAAAATCTGAAAGATAAGACTCGTCGGAAAATACATAACGTCATGAAGAGCTATTCCCCCTCTGTTTTTCCTTCTTGTGTGAAGGCAAGAGCATACCAGGTTCCACAAAGGAAAAATTCGAAAATTTTATATTCTCCTAGACCAATCGATTCTCCTGTCTCCATGATTAGAAATATATCCAACGTCATCCATTCCTCTCTCTCTCTCTCTTTCTGAAGAAATAGTGACAATCTAAAAAGGTCCACTCTGCGTCACCCTCCCCTATCAATTTGGGATTCTCATTTTTCCGTTCTCTCTTGTTGCCTGCGGCCACCCGGGGGTATTAAGTAACTCTCCACATGTGGAATATATT